TATCAGTGCCTTCATTCAGTCTGGCAATCCCTACCCTAAAGCCTAGAGAAATCTCCTGCTTAGCTTCTCTCTACCTGTGTGTAGCTTCTCTCTGGCTTCTGCTTATATCTTTCACTTCTACAAAAGATCAGATGACTCAAGCTTGGTTTTCTCCAACCATCTTCTGTTTCCTGCCTAGATCCTGAAAGATATATAAAACATTTATGAAATCTCTTCATGTCTCAGGTTCCTTATTGGTAAACCAAGGACAGTAATATGTGCATCAGGATTTTATAATTAAATGAGACAATATCTGTAAATCACTCAGCATGTATCAGGAGCTCGGTAGACACTGCTGTAATGATAATTTGATCATGGTTATTTAAAGTTCTAGTCTGAACTTTGAACCTAAACCTCTTTAGTCGATATATGCTGGGAATGTCCACATAGACTCTTCGAACAGGTATCCCAGTATCACTACGGCAGCGTATTCATGGTAGGTACTAGCAAGTTGGCTCTAACTCATTTCAACAATATGTACAACTGGATGAAACCCTGTCTGATCTTGTACCATCCTCACAAGTTCCCACGTTTAAGTCCATTGTTGCCGTCACTGAGTCAATCCATTTCATAGGGAATCTTCCTCTCCTTTACTCTCCACTTTTCCAAGCGAGGTTCTAAGGAGTAGTTTGGAAATATACCTAAAATATGAGAGGCAAACCCTGACCATCCTTGCTTCTAAAGAGTACTCTGACTTCATATCTTCCAAGTCACATCTGTCAGTCTTTTAGCGTACTTATTATATTCAATAATCCTTACCAATACCACAATTCAAAGGCACCAATTCTTCCTTGATCATCCTTGTGTATTGTCCAATTTTCAGCTAAACTAACTGAAAACATTATGTCTCAGGCCAGTCAAACCTTAGTCTTTAAATTGACGTCTTTGCTCATTAGCACTTAAAGGAGGTTCTTGGCAGTACGTTTGGCCAATGCAATAATTATGGGTGTTGACTGTGGATCCAAGTAAGATGAAATCTCTGACAAAGTAATTCCTTTCTCAGCTTATCATTATGTTGCTTATTGGTCACATTCTGAAGATTTTCATTTTCTTTATATTGAGATGTAATTCATATTGATGAATATAGTCTTTGACCTTCTTCAGTGTTTAAAGGCCTCACTTTGTGCAAGCGAACTTGTCAACTGCACTTGTTGAGGCATGTGCTCCAGTTTTGATGCCACGTCCTTCTTCATATAGTCCACCAGCTTCTCAAACTTTTAGCTCAGCATATAAACTTAATAGGTAGAAATAGGAGAAAGAATACAGCCCTGATGTACATCTTTCCTAATTTAAAATCATGTATTTCCCCCTTGTCATGGTCAAACAGCTGCTTCTTGATTCATACAGGATCGTCATGGGCACAATTGAGTGTTCTGGAAAAACTGTTCTTCAATTTCACAAGTTACTCCACAGGAGAAAGATAGGCAATCTCCTTCCGTGTGATTACTCCCTCTGAAAACCTACTAGAGCGTCAGCTATGCGTCAGTTCCAACTTGATGGTACACAACAACAACAACAATAAATGTTAACCATAACATAGTATGATCCTCACAGCTGAATGCCTTTGCAGAATGTAAGTAGTTATAACAATGCAGGGCTTGGAGCTCTGGTGCCCAAGTGGCAAGAAACTGCATTGTAATCACAGAGGTTGTTGTTATATGCTCTAAACTCTGCTCTGTCCTGTGACAATCGTACCATCTCTGATACACCCATCCCAATTACCCCAGTCACTGAATCAATCCACCTCATAAAAGGGCCTTCCCTTTCTGCGCTGTCCCTCCACCCTACCAAGCATAATGTTCTCTCCAAGGACCAATCCCTCCTTACAATATGTCCAAAGTATGTTAGACGGAGCCTCAGAATCCTTGCGTCCAAGGAGCCGCCCGTTTTGACCTTTTCCAGGATGAATCTGTTTGTTTTCCTAGCAGTCCATGGTACTCTCAATACTCTTCTCCAGCACC